GAGATGGATCAACACAGTGGCTGCAACAATGAGCTCAAACATAGCAACGACTGTGAGGATGGCACAGGACCAGGCAGTGTTTCGTTCAGTTGTATGTAGGGCCACTATGAGCTGAAACCAACTCAACGGCACCTAACAACAATAGAGATTGAATTTTTGAAAGGAAATCGACATTCTGAGAATAAGTCTCAGTATTAGAATGCAGCATTGGATTTAGACTTCAAAGTAATGCGTGCAGACTATGAGTTGGGCAGAGTGGAGGGATGGGACAAGGCACAGGACTTCAGGAAGTTGGAGAGAGAAAATCCTCATTGTATGCTCTTGTTTTTTAGCACAACACTCACACCAACATAAGAGGATGCGATGTCTTTTACTTTTTTAAAAAAATCTGAAAGATAGAGTTCCCCCAAAGTATTTTTTTTTCTAAAGGCAGAAGAAGAGAAAGGAATGAAAGGATTTGCATAAAATCATCTAGAGGAAACCAAAAGAAGGAAAGGTAGCTGACTCTATACCAGGGGCAGGCAAACATCAGCTCACGCATGGTCTGTTTTTTATCATCAGGGAGTAAAGAATGGTTTTTACAATGCTTAAAAGATTGTAAATAAAAGAAAGCAGAATAAGTAACAGAGACATACGTGATCTGTAAAACCTAAAATATTTACTGTCTGTCCCTTTACAGAGAAAGTGTGCTGAGTCCTCCTCTCCAATGTACAAATCATGCTCTTGCCTTCCGAACGAGAACTATGAACTATGAAGAGAAGCTGGCTGCAAGTAGGCTTAGTATTGTTTTCATGACTTCACATAGCTAAGAGGCAAGGTTTATCAAAAGAGATAGTTAATATCATATTTCTACTCAATATTTACTGATCTATCATCACTTTTCCTGCTTTTTATGCCTATTCCATGCTTTGCAAAACAGAAGAACACCACAAATGCCATAAAAATACATTCTTAAAATATTCTCTTGGGATGAGACGGGGCTCATAATACTACTTCTGATTTTTGTCAAAATTTAATTCATATTCAAAGTATTTCGATTATCCTCAATGCATCTGAATCACATGGGCTGTAATACAGGAACAGAGCAGTTATCTTATGATCTCTAAATTGAAGTAAGGATTTAGCTACAAACTTCCAGACTCCTACCCTAGGCCTTTTCAACACTTAGAAAGGAAGGAAATACATCGTCTGTCCAAATGACTAGCTTTTTGAAGGAGAACACATTAAAGTTTTACCATACTGCTGGTAGTCAGAAAGCTAACTCTCCAATGGACTCAGGCATTGAGCAGGCACAAATGTGAATGTTTAGCATATACAGTCAGCCCTCTG